AAAAAATAATCTTAACACATCTAATGCTTTCATTTATTAAACTACTGTCAAAAGTTAATTCAAGATCTATAAACTATAAATAACTTGACAAGTATTACTATTGCAATTTTAATATTTATTTCATTGTAATAAAATATGATTAATCCCATTTTGTCTTTTCTCCCCATTTAATTACTCCTCATTTTTGTTACTTGGGCGAAGGTTATCTCCCTTGTAAAAGAAATAACTAATTTAAATGGAAATTATTTCCTATGCTGTCATCTTTTTTTAAATTTCAATAATTTGATAGTTCAATATTATATATAATTTTATATATATATATATATATATATATATATATATATATATATATATATATATATATCTTTATATATATATATATATCAGTATCAATGGCGTAGCGAGGTCGGGTGTCACCCGGTGCGACACTTAATGGTGTCACCCCCCAGAGGCGTAGCGACTCTTCCAGCGGACAAACTTTCAAATTTTCGATTTGCACCCCCCACCCCCCCCCCCGCCCCCTCCCTCAAACTTTCGATTTGCGCCCCCTTCCTCAATTTTTTCCTATATATTTTGCTATTTTTTGTCTTGGTGTCACCCCCCTAAATAGTGTCACCCTGTGCGGTCCGCACCACCCACCCTCCCCTCGCTACGCCTCTGATATATATATATATATATATATATATATATATATATATCCCTCTAGTAATGTCTTTGCCTTTCCCTTCTTCTCCCTCCAGGAACACTACCTTGCATTGTTTTATTCGGACAGGCCGTTTGGTTCATGTGACATGTCTATAATCTCACAGCTTTCTTGTTTTGGTTGTCTTCAATTGACCGCCAAAGGGACAAGTCGCATGAGTGGTTCTCTTATGGACTTAGGTATGTTGTATCTGTAAGAGATTCCTAGGAGTCTGCTAAGATATATCCTTATCTATTATTATTTAACTATTATTTTTATTTACCGACACCTTTGTGTTTAAATTTATAAAATTATAAATTTATAAAAAGATAGGACTGCTTGGTCAAACTGTAGAGCGTTTGACTGCGAACACGGAAGTCTAGGGTTCGGGGCTCGATTCCACCCACCGAGCTCTAGTAGATACCTGACACGTTAGGGAAAATAAAGTCGATCGGAAATAATGCCGACCACACAATCTCTTCATATGCCGAGATCACCAATACAAGTGACCTCTATATCATCTTCCCCATGGAGCTTAAGGTTCGGAATGGTATTTTACTGTTATAAAAAGCTGACAGTCCATGATAACAAACGATACCATAAACAACACACTCTCTGAAACAAATACAGTAAATCTGCGCAACACAATAGGAAAGTTAGCCATAAATCAGAACATATATATATATATATATATATATATATATATATATATATATATATATATATATATATATATATATATATATATATACATATAAACACACGTATATATAAATGTAATATATTTTTTATCGTTTTATTTATGTATTTCGATTTTACACAGAACCTAAAAAAACATTTAATAATTAGAAAACTTGTGTACACAGCTCATTTTTGTTCCTGATTGTAAAGAAACTTCTTTTCCATCTTTCTGTGTCTGTGTTGTCTCTGCTTGTTCCTTTATCAAAGCATTCCGTTTTATTTGGTAGTGCTGCAAGTTTAAGAGCTGTTTATCATTGATGAATTTGGCACATTGAGAATTGACAAGCTCTATAGGACAATGTTCATACTGCCGTGTGTAAACATTGAGGGTATTTCAGAAATTTAGCATATTTTTGTTCTTTCCAGTACTGATGGTACTTGAGATAGTTAATAAAATTCTGGTTCTTTGAAGATGTTACGTCGGCTAATTTTTTTAAAAATAATTGGGGTTTGCTGGACACTGGACACACTCAAGCACAATTTGAAAGTGGGTACTCTGTTGCTCCTCAGTATTACCTAAACGCTTCTCTTTTCTATCCATTTTCACAAGCTTTTATTTAACTCACTTCCTCTGTCTGTCGTCAGTCTGTCGTCAGTCTAGATCGAAACGGCCGAGTGAAATTGCAGGCACTTCTGACTGACAGACACGGTTCGTAATTGGCACGTGGGTCAAGACATGAAGACAATGCATCATGACATTCAATTTGACTTAATTTGTCGCCTGATTAATTTTTTATGAATTAATTAAAATTTTAACCAAATTAATAGGCAGTTCAATCCAACTACTTCACACGCGTCATCACGTTCAATAGGCGCGCAATGATTTTAGTCATGTAACTCTATTGTAAATAAAAACATGTAAAGTACTAAAAAAAATTCATAAAAACGTTTTAATAACAAGCTTTTATGTAATAATTCACTAAAAAGGAGAAAATAAATTATACACTACTATTTAAATTACTATAAAGAAAAGCGTGGGTCTCTTTCGAAATATTAGTAAAGATATCCAATAGATACCAAAGCAATGTTTCTTCCCGACTTTTTTCTCCGGGGAGGCACTTGAAATTTTCGGGGAGGCGGTAGACTTTCTTCGGGGGGGGGGGGGGGACACTGTTAAAAGTATATATTTTCTAATAAATTTCATTTCGTTCGGGGGGGGGGCGGTAAAAACTGGAAGAAACTCTGTACTAAAGTGACCCATGCTTTTCTGTATAGTAATTTAAATCGTAGTGTATAATTTATTTTCTACTTTTTAGTGCATTATTACATAAAAGCTTGTTATTAAAACGTTTTTTATGAATTTTTTACTAAGATTGGTTTTTTTCATTGTTTATACTACTATTTAATACGTAGATAATGTAAAGAGAAATGACAATTATATGTACTTCACCGCACATTACTGAGTATAGAATAAAAATAAAATTCGCATCTGAACAAATAATGTATTTAGTACGTTTAATAGTTTTCCGATTAAAGTATAAAGGAATCAAAATTTGAAATCTAATATATTTACACGGTAGACTAAAAATCTGATACTATTTATAATAATTATTTGGAGTAAGTTAATAAGCCATGCATCTCATTGTTTCTTTTGTTACAATGTAATGTCTCATTGTTTTGATAAAATAGATGTAGGTAATCTCCCTTTAATTAAAAAAAAATACTATTAATAGAAATAACTCACAAAAGTACTGAAACTTTGGACATCTGTCAAAAACTTTTTTTTTGTGCGTGTTTTAAAAAAATCAAATATTGATTTTAAACCTAACCCTATCCTTAAAACTCTTACCCTAAACCATATTTCTAACCCCTTATTCTAATAAATATGTGATTTTTATAAACACACAAAAATGCGTAGTGTACTAAATTAGAGTATCGTATACAAGATCGCTAGGCTGTTAATGTCTCGAGTTCACAGGCAGTAGAGCGTCTCTGATTGGTACTTAACACTTAAGTAAAGGCGTCTGGGCAAAGTGCTGACCACACTTTCCCTTCATACGCCGAGGTCAAGAACCATGAGAACTCTTCTTCATCTGCCCACTGGATTGCTAGATCTAAAGAGGATTATTTACAGTACACCAGAATGCTGGGGTTGTATCGATTTTCGTAGGTGAAGAAGAGCTAACGTGAATTCACCTTTTGTGGAGAACACTGAATATTGTGCTACCTGTAATAGAAGCCACTTATCCTGATTAATTATCACCATATTGTTACCACGTCCAATATAGGCACGCGGCACAAAGCTAATTAAGATACAGTATAATCCATTTACAAGTTTACAGTTACATCTATTTACTAAAAGTAGTTTATATTTGTAGGCCGTGTTTATTGGAAATTATAATGGATATTTTGATAGTGCCAAATTCAATTCTCATCGGCTTGAGTGATCAGTTTGCACCCAGCTAATGTTAAGCCAGTCATTATTAACAATTCAGTATTTGATGTTCAGTTTGATAAATAAGCACAGTTTACTTCTTCTTCGTTTTTTTTTTGTGTATTTTGGAATGGGTTGTCCTACAACAAAGAATAAGTATTACTAGGAATTCAGTTTGCTTTTCTGTCTAAATTTGCTTCCATGGCCTTTGTCACTTCAAGAATAATCAGCCAGGCAAAAGTTGTTTAATTATGGGTTGCTTTCTCTAGCTATAAAGCCTTATCTACCCAGGGGTTCCGAACTCGGAACTCTAGGAGTTAGTTTTCAAACAACTTCCCACCCGACCACACCAAGCTCCACACTTTATAATTTAAGTAAACTTAATGTTGCCTTTTCGTACCATATGATCAACAAAGCAGAGGCAGCACAGTTTAACCCTTTCGTTTAGGTGTGTTAATGGATAGGTCAAATTATAAATAAAACAATAACATATATATATATATATATATATATATATATATATATATATATATATATATATATATAATTCTCTTCTGGGAGACGTTAGAAAACAAGCTGTAAGCGCGCCGAGCAGTCCCCTCTTTTCCTCTCTAGGCATATCGCAACCACCCCCACACCCACATGGTCTGGTGAGTTGTAGTTCACGCTAAATGTTTACATCGTAGAGCCGGGTTTAGTGACGGCTATTAGGGGCAGATAATTTAGTTTAAAACTATTTTATACTTAGGGGAAGTAACTAAGTTGAGGCTGCTTTCACGTGGGTGGGGGTGTGGGGGGGGGGTAGGGTTTGGGGGAAAGGAGGGTTTTAGTGTTTTAAAGCAAATATTTTCAGTGGCAGCATTGGTACTGTCGAATTCACAAATTATGAATTACTGAAAAGTAGAAAATAAAACAACTAAATAGCGGCGTATGATACGCCGCGGGTCGGCTCGTAATAATTAAAATAATACAATTGAATGTAGACGTTTTAAAAACAAAGTTGGCAAAAAAAAACGTATTACTCACACTTCACACAGTCGAACACTAAACGACCTCTAACATCCCTCACGTGTCGTGTTTCGTAGGTGAGTACTGTGTTGGTCACCTGAGCTTCATTGTGACTGGAATAGGACACATGAGCAGGTGTATCGTGTGTCCATTAACGTGCTCATATAAAACGGTTGTTTAAAGCCAGTCTCGGGGGGAAAATAAAATAAAATTGCTGTTTGTTTGAACTCAACCAACGAAGTTAAAATTCTCGCTTTAGTAAGTTCGGTGAAATTCTTTCTTTTTTTTAAAATTTTACATTTATATGAAGCATTTTTTGCATAGTTTATAAATTAAAATTTTGTCAAACTAAACTGTTATAAAATGAATGCATTTTACTTCAAAAACTAACAGAATTTCTGTAGATTTTTCATTTTATTTTCATTCATCTCCCTTAACATTGAAACGAGATTTATTTGTAAACTTTTAAAATAACAAGCTTTTAAATGCACAAAAATTAAATAATAATACATTTTGTATTAACTATAATAGTAAAAGTAAAAGCGTCGATCGCGAAAAACTGTTTGGAAATATTTCTAGAGCGAAAATTAAACAAAATGGCAGTCTTACTTGAAGCGTGTAATTAATTAAAAAAAACAGAATACTTTACTATAGGTGTAAGACAAATTTTTGTAATGTTTTCTTCTAGTACCGCGAGAATATGGAGGGCCATCCATCCACGTTTGTATCCATGCTGGATGAGGTCTGTCGACGGTATCCAGACAGAGAGGCTGTCGTGACGTATGACGGGAAAATGTCCAGAAAATCCTTGACCTTTACAGAGCTCTGGAATTTGGCATCAAAGTAATAACTTCAATTTAATTTTTTTTTTAATCTTAATTTTCAAAAAAAATGCTTACATTTATTTTGGAATGGGGTGTCGTTTTAAACTTGAGCAGCTTTTTTTAGTTAATAATTTATTTATTTATAATGGCTGCTCTGGTAAATTACAATATGGTCAGCCATTTATAAATTGTATGTATATTTGTTTTTTTTTCTTTTTATTCCTAAAGTAGCTCTGTGCAGGTTTTTCGACATATAATTCAGAGTAATTCAAATTGTGATGTTTAGATTACAGTATCTTCTTAAAATCAAAAGTGTGCAACTTTTAAAAAAAATATTTTAAAAATAATTCACACTCAAGGTTTTGAAAATATTCCTGAGGTCACACAACCTGTCTTTAAACACACACAGGTACGCGCACGTGTTGAGACAGGCAGGTGTGAAGAAAGGCGACTACGTTGTCGTGTCCACCCCCCTAAGCCTTGAATTCTGGGTGGCCAGTTTTGGCGTGTTACTTGCGGGGGGCGTCCACATCTCGATGGAGAAATTGTTTAGCACTTCTGACATCATTGTCCAGGTAATCTACTTGCAATTATTAATCAGTCTCCTGATCAGCATCAATTTAGATGTTATTTTATATGTAAAAGTTAAAAAGAAAAAGATTCCTCTTTAGACAGCAACTCGTTGAGCATATGAAGAAGACTTAATATGTTTATGACCTTGTCAAATGTAGGGATGGTGTGTTCAGCACTATGCCCAGCCGCCTTACTTTCCCCAACGTAAGTCAGGTACCCATCATAGCTGAGTGGACTCGGGAACGTGCTACATTCACATGTCAAAACTAGGATCCCAACTGGAAATCTTTGAGCAAGCAGTCAAACGCTCTACCGTTCGAACACGCCGTCCTACTAATTATCTATGTAATTATCTGTACATCGTATGTTTTAAATCTACAAGTATCAACAATTTTGACATCATCCAGTTGATGGTGTAGCAAGCTGACCGTTTTCCAACGAAAAACTCGTCGTCTAGCGTGCATTAAAATTAGAAGAGTAGATGCGACCCAACATACATGGCTTATAATATTTTACTGATATTTGTATGTGTTTAAAAATTTTCATGTGAGGGCATTGCTGTATTAAAATACATCTATACAATTATTACTTAAAAGGAATTTCAGAGACTACTAAAAAAAAATGTGATTGCGTCCGGAGATATTTGTCTCATGATTTCAAATTAGGCCGTGTATTCACCTCAGTCCAGATTCATCATAGTCTCCAATTATTTTCAGACCGTGAATTTGTCTCAGGCTAAATTCCTCGTACTCTCAAATTATTTTCAGACTGTGAATTTGTCCCAGGCAAAATTCCTCATACTCTCAAATTATTTTCAGACCGTGAATTTGTCCCAGGCAAAATTCCTCATACTCTCAAATTATTTTCAGACCGTGAATTTTTCTCAGGCAAAATTCCTCATACTCTCAAATTATTTTCAGACCGTGAATTTGTCCCAGGCAAAATTCCTCATACTCTCAAATTATTTTCAGACCGTGAATTTGTCTCAGGCTAAATTCCTCATACTCTCAAATTATTTTCAGACCGTGAATTTGTCTCAGGCAAAATTCCTCATACTCTCAAACGACGAGGGCAGCGAAATGTGGGAGATCTTCAAACACGCGGCGAAGTTGGATCCGGTGAACAGGTTCATCGCCAGTGTCCGGATGCGGGCCATGCCGAGCTTGACGACGCTGTTGTTGACCAACAGACACGCAGGTTAGTCCGTCTGATACCTCGACTAGGTCTAGACGTGTTTCAGTCTGTTGCTTGATGGTGACGTCACACTAATTACGACTTTATGCTGAGCATCGTTAAAGTTATGTGGGAGTAAAACATTACCCTTTATAATTCCTGTCCCACCCCACCCCCGTTCACACAGCCCCCATACTAATCATGTAATGGCCGTGGACTTAATCCTTTAAAGAAAACTAAAAATAACCGTAAGATTATTACCTGGGACTGCTGTAATCATATTAGGGGCTGCTGAAATCATCTCTGTAATTATGGTTACAGTAAATCTGATTTACTGATAAATCTGATAAATTATGATTTACAGTAAAACTGTAAATCATGCTGTAATTATACTTAGGGCTGCTGTAATTGGAGTGTTGTAATCACTTATGGGGCTGTTATAATATAAATGCCACTGAAAATGTCTACGCATAAATATATAGAAAATAAGAGGCTTCACTAAGTAAAGCAACGCTTTTTATTTTTTGTTCTTGTATATAGTAATTTCACAGTATTTATTTCAGCTCAGGTGTGTTGTTAGAAGTCATTATTATTTCTTAAAACAATCACTCCCACTTCTACCCCTCCGTTTCTACCCCTTCTCCACCACACCACCCTTCCTCTAACTTGAACAATCACTACTCAGCGCTATATTTTTCCCAGCAGATGACGTCACGTTCCTGGAGAGACTCGCCGACTACCGTGGGGAATACCAGGATCGATCTGTGGGACCGGCAGACGGGGCGGTGGTCGGCACCTCCATGCACCCCGACACCGTGGCGCGCCCCAAGCTGTGTGAGGTGTCCCACGGCGCCCTCACAGCCCAGGCTCGCGTCCTGGATAAAGCTGTGCCGTGTGGCGAGAAAAAGTGGGTGGCTTGCTGTTGCTGTTGGGGGTTTTTTTTTTTGCTATTTTTTTTTCTTTTTCCAATTGGGGAGGGGGGAAGGCTGTGGTTTTTTTTTTTTTTTTTTTTTGACTTGTTTATAATTGACTGCAAGAAGTTGAAGGAATGCTGTTGCTGATTTTTTTTTTCTTTTTCTTCTTTGTTTTTTTTAATCGGCTGTAATAATTTGCTGGAGTTATGTTTATGTTTTTGTTTTGTTTTTTCTTTGCTTTAATAGTTGATAATTTTATTTATTGTTAGAAAATCAGTGTAAGAACTGTCGAGCCAATTTATGTCAAAGTAGTATAATAGGTGCAATGCTTTACAAAAAATAATTTTAAAATGTGTAATTAAAATTCGTGGTATAAATAACGTTTGAGACAGATATTAACAAGCGAATTATGTTTATTTATAACCAAAGGTAAGTCTAAACACAGGAACGTTAACAAACCCTTCACAATACTCTTAAAAAACACCAACATTTCATTTTGTTATTTCAATCCAACCCTGTCAACCCGGCAGCTACAACCCGTTCCCGTGGTACATCGCTGGGGCGTTTCCCTTTGACAACCTGGTTGGCACCACGAGAATATTGCCAGACTTGTGGGTGCCATTGGACATGGAACTCTATGAGGTAAGGAACATTGGACATGGAACTCTATGAGGTAAGGAACATGTCATTTACATTAGACATGGAACTCTATGAGGTAAGGAACTTGTCATCTACATTGGACATGGAACTCTATGAGGTAAGGAACTTGTATGTCATCTACATTGGACATGGAACTCTATGAGGTAAGGAACTTGTCATCTACATTGGACATGGAACTCTATGAGGTAAGGAACATGTCATCTACATTGGACATGGAACTCTATGAGGTAAGGAACTTGTATGTCATCTACATTGGACATGGAACTCTATTAGGTAAGGAACTTGTCATCTACATTGGACATGGAACTCTATGAGGTAAGGAACTTGTCATCTACATTAGACATGGAACTCTATGAGGTAAGGAACTTGTATGTCATCTACATTGGACATGGAACTCTATGAGGTAAGGAACTTGTATGTCATCTACATTGGACATGGAACTCTATGAGGTAAGGAACATGTCATCTACATTGGACATGGAACTCTATGAGGTAAGGAACTTGTATGTCATCTACATTGGACATGGAACTCTATGAGGTAAGGAACTTGTGTGTCATCTACATTGGACATGGAACTCTATGAGGTAAGGAACTTGTCATCTACATTGGACATGGAACTCTATGAGGTAAGGAACTTGTCATCTACATTGAACATGGAACTCTATGAGGTAAGGTACTTGTAAGTCATCTACATTGGACATGGAACTCTATGAGGTAAGGAACTTCTATGTCATCTACATTGGACATGGAACTCTATGAGGTAAGGAACTTGTCATCTACATTGGACATGGAACTCTATGAGGTAAGGAACTTGTCATCTACATTAGACATGGAACTCTATGAGGTAAGGAACTTGTATGTCATCTACATTGGACATGGAACTCTATGAGGTAAGGAACTTGTATGTCATCTACATTAGACATGGAACTCTATGAGGTAAGGAACTTGTCATCTACATTGGACATGGAACTCTATGAGGTAAAGAACTTGTATGTCATCTACATTGGACATGGAACTCTATGAGGTAAGGAACTTGTATGTCATCTACATTGGACATGGAACTCTATGAGGTAAGGAACTTGTATGTCATCTACATTGGACATGGAACTCTATGAGGTAAGGAACTTGTATGTCATCTACATTAGACATGGAACTCTATGAGGTAAGGAACTTGTCATCTACATTGGACATGGAACTCTATGAGGTAAGGAACTTGTCATCTACATTGGACATGGAACTCTATGAGGTAAGGAACTTGTATGTCATCTACATTGGACATGGAACTCTATGAGGTAAGGAACTTGTCATCTACATTAGACATGGAACTCTATGAGGTAAGGAACTTGTATGTCATCTACATTGGACATGGAACTCTATGAGGTAAGGAACTTGTCATCTACATTGGACATGGAACACTATGAGGTAAGTAACTTGTATGTCATCTACATTGGACATGGAACTCTATGAGGTAAAGAACTTGTCATCTACATTGGACATGGAACTCTATGAGGTAAGGAACATTGGACATGGAACTCTATGAGGTAAGGAACTTGTCATCTACATTGGACATGGAACTCTATTAGGTAAGGAACTTGTCATCTACATTGGACATGGAACTCTATGAGGTAAGGAATTTGTCATCTACATTGGACATGGAACTCTATGAGGTAAGGAACTTGTATGTCATCTACATTGGACATGGAACTCTATGAGGTAAGGAACTTGTATGTCATCTACATTGGACATGGAACTCTATGAGGTAAGGAACATTGGACATAGAACTCTATGAGGTAAGGAACTTGTCATCTACATTGGACATGGAACTCTATGAGGTAAGTATTATTTGGGAGGTTGATACACGGAATATTACCGGGGCTCGATACAGTTCTCTTGTGAATGCCTAGAGGATTCCTGCAATATAAATACAACCTGTTGTTGTGTACGTTAGAGAGAGAATTCTGTGAGGTGAGGAACTTGTTCCATCGTCATTTAGATGAGACAGGGAACTATAAGGAACGTTTTGACATCTAACTTAGTCAGGGAACTCTAAGGAACTTGTCATCTAGGCAGGGGCCGGCGCTACCTATAAGGCGAACTAGTCGGTCGCCTAGGGCGCCATCCCTAGGGGGGATGAATTATGAATTACTGAATTACTGAAAAGTAGAAAATAAAACTAAGTAGCGGCGTATAATACGTATAATACGCCGCGGGTCGGCTAGTATGCTTTAAAACACTATCAGTAGGTCGGTGTCCAGTCAACCCCCCCCCCGCGACATAAACCCACTGGACTAAAACACCCCGCAATATAAACCCCCTGGACAAAAACCCCCAATTTTGGTTTATATAAGGAAAAACCAAAGATGATGAGAACCAAAATTAATATATAAAACTGTTTTATTTTTATTATAACTTTAAAAAGACAGATCGTGAGCGATGCCTCGCAAATACTCAAGTTGAGATGGATCTGGTCCATGCGAATGTTCATTACAACGTCCAACAAGCTGTTCACCATGAATCTTTATCTTAACTTTGCATTCTGTCTTGTTGCGTCTTTTGGCACACTCAAATGACAACGCCGTTCGCCAGATCTTTTTGCTTGACATAAAAATAGCCTTCAAAAATCATCTTTAAATTGCCTTTATTGGATTGAACGAACTCCATTCCAGAAATTATATAATTTGTTGAGAAATAAATTTGTTGTCGTATTTATACCATGCTTCTGTGTGCCAAGGTGGATATGAACCAAGCTTCCGCCGGTGAATCTATCACATCTTTTGTATTGTTAAAAATGTGTTGCTTTGATCCGCACGGCTCCCACATGTGGATGACCTATATGTAAGGTGTCGTCGGTGCCCGATCTTTGATCAAATACAACTAAGGTCTCTCCTTGATTTCGAATAGCATTTTTTAAGGTAGAAACTATTTTCTTAGTCGTAAAAAATTAAATTAATTTAATGTAAATTTTTAAATTTTTTTTGGTTCACATCATTGTTATTATTTCTTTATATAAACCTCAGTCCATGGGTTATTATCCGGGGGGGGGGTTTATGTCGCGGGGGTTTTTGTCCAGGGTGTTTATGTCGGGGGGTTTATTTCCAGGGGATTTATGTCCAGGGGGTTTTTGACCGGGAGCCCAGTAGGTCGTCAAGGACGATAAACACCCCCCCCTTTCCCCCAAACCTTACCCTACCCCCACCCCCCATAATAGCAGCTTCCTCTTAGTTACCTCCCCTAAGTTTAAAATCGTTTAAAACTAAATTATCTGCCCCTAATAGCCGTCACTAAGCCCTGATCACGATTATAAACATTTAGCGTGAACCACAGCTCGATAGACGATGTAGAGGTGGGTGTGGTAGCGATATGCCTGGGGAGGAAGAGAGGGGGCTGCTAGGAGGCGCGCTTGGTGTTTTCTATCGTCTCAAATAAGAGAATCATACCTGTAGATTAATGGCTTCATTGTAGTATCAATTTTACGTATGTCATCTATATTGACTAGAAATATGTTATAACAAAGCTAACGTGTTTAGACTATCAAACAAAACATACAGTTAAGTAGTAAATTAGTAAAATATATTTTTTTGACAGGCTACATAAATATAATATAAAAGATTTGTTATAATTTTATATAATGAAATTTAGATCATTTTATTGTGTTTTTGTAAGAATGTCTTAGTTACACTAGGTTAATTTAGCTACTATTGTGAAAGTTATTTCCTTTGAATAAACTTTTGGTATTTGAATTTCCAAATGGGAGATAATTCATTGCTTAACTTTACATTCATTGACCTCTTATATATAAATACAACTTTAAGTTATTATTAGCTATTGTAAAACATTATATAGAACAGAAGTTCTAAACAAAATAGTTTGGTAGGTTTACTTAAGCATTATAAATTTGAAAAACAAATACATCATTAGCCGTTGTAGATTGCAATACTTAATGTTAATAGATATACATAATGAGAAAGTGCAACAAATGCGTCTAAAATCGTCTTAGTCGCAAACTAATCATCTAATTAAATTATGAGTCTTTTTCAAAAGTTCGCCCTCTCCTTAAGGATTCTCATATGAAAATTGTAGGCTGGAATCTATTACATTAAAATATATAGCCTTTTATTTTTCAAAAAAAAATCGTTACATAATCAGACAATACAGAAATTTTACAATTGTAACTAAAGACAGTCAAGCTTAAAACAGGTAAGTTCCTTTCTGGAACTCACCTTGGGAGGTCTGCAGAGAGCCCAACACGTTAAGTACAAAGTAGACTCGTAGATTTAGCAACAATTTCAATAGAATGCGATTACGCTTGCAAACTGGAATTGAAAGAATCAGTACAAACTTTTGCGACGAAGGAGGCAAGTAAAATTTGATTTTGATGTCTACGTGTATGCAATTGATAATAAATTAATGTCACTTTTAATTAATTATTTTCTTTTACATGTTTTAGTAATTAATTTGTGCGAAAGGGGGCGTTTTAATAAGTTTTGCCTAGGGCGCTACTTGTTACAATGTTTTCTAGATTAGTCAGTAAACTCTAAGAAACTTGCTACAATGTTATCTACATTAGTCAGTAAACTCTAAGGAACTTGTTACAATGTTATCTACATTAGTCAGTAAACTCTTTAGAACTTGCAATGTTAACTTCATTAGTCAGTAAACTCTAATCAACTTGCTACAATGTTATCGACATTAGTCAGTAAACTCTAAGGAACTTGCTACAATGTTTTCTACATTAGTCAGTAAACTCTAAGGAACTTGCTACAATGTTATCTATCTCAGGGAACTCTAAGGAACTTGCTACAATGTTATCTATCTCAGGGAACTCTAAGGAACGTGTTACAACGTTATATCATGCTACATTGTCTTCTACTGTTTTTCTGTATTACTGAAACTGTATGTTACAGTTCCAGACTGTGTTAATGTAGTGCAGATAAATACACTATCTTATGACGGGCAGGTATAGACCGTTTATTATGCTAGGCAGATGAAGTAGAGTCTAAGTGTTTTGGTCTGATGACTGTCTATGGTAATTAATGTGACTTGATATTTATCCGTTAGTATCAGATTCGAGGCATTGGTTTTGTTGCATTTCTTTTCTCATACAAATAGAACGATCGATTCTTCACCTTTAATCTTGTGTATATTGGGAATTCGAATGTTACCCCCTCCCCCCCGCCCTCCCTCCCTGCTCCCTTTTCTTGGTGTAATAAGTTAGAGGTTTATTTTGTAGGTCGGTATACATTTATTTACTACTTACATCATTAATACTATTTACATCATTAATATAGTTTTTGTTTGTTTGTTTGTTTTTTACTTTTATATTCGTCATAAGCACCTGAATGTATTTTATTTCTACAGCTTTGCTATTTCTTACAATGTACGCTCACTGTCTGCAAAATCTATGTTTTAGTATTGATCGGAATATCTGAAACAAAGAATTTTATTAATAAAAATTGTTCCTCGCATAACAGTTCGTTTTTTTCTCTTTCCCAGTTTAACATGAAGGTCAAGGACGCTGAGAAGTTGACCCACGCGCTGGCCACGGTGGCCGAGATGAGTCACGTGGTCGAGACAAGAAAAAGCGCGACCGGCAAATACGTGGACACGGCTTGCACGGGTGGTCAGCCAATCACAAGGGCTGTTTACGACAGGTAACTATGGTGATGGGGTTCCTGGGTTCAGCCAATCACAAGGGCTATTTACGACAGGTAACTATGGTGATGGGGTTCCTGGGTTAAGTCAATCACAAGGGCTGTTTACGACAGGTAACTATGGTGATGTAATTCCTGGGTTTAGCCAATCAAAAGGGCTGTTTACGACAGGTAACTATGGTGATGGGCTTCCTAGGTTCAGCCAATAAAAAGGGCTGTTTATGACAGGTAACTATGGTGATGTAATTCCTGGGTTCAGCCAATCACAAGGGCTGTCTACGACAGGTAACTCTGGTGATGTAATTCCTGGGTTAAGTCAGTCACACGGGCTGTTTACGACAGGTAACTATGGTGATGTAATTCCTGGGTTAAGTCAATCACAAGGGCTGTTTACGACAGGTAACTATGGTGATGTAATTCCTGGGTTAAGTCAATCACAAGGGCTGTTTACAACAGGTAACTATGGTGATGTGGTTCCTGGGTTCAGCCAATCACAAGGGCTGTTTACGACAGGTAACTATGGTGATGTAACTCCTGGGTTCAACCAATCACAAGGGCTGTTTACGACAGGTAACTATGGTGATGGGGTTCCTGGGTTAAGTCAATCATAAGGGCTGTTTACGACAGGTAACTATGGTGATGTAATTCCTGGGTTAAGTCAATCACAAGGGCTGTTTACGACAGGTAACTATGGTGATGTAATTCCTGGGTTCAGCCAATCACAAGGGCTGTTTACGACAGGTAACTATGGTGATGTAATTCCTGGGTTAAGTCAATCACAAGGGCTGTTTACGACAGGTAACTATGGTGATGGTGTTCCTGGGTTCAGCCAATCACAAGGGCTGTTTACGACAGGTAACTATGGTGATGTAATTCCTGGGTTCAGCCAATCACAAGGGCTGTTTACGACAGGTAACTATGGTTAAAAATGTTAGCGGAGTATCCCAAAATAACGTAGAAGATTATGAACTCATTGTTTATTTGGCTTAAAATATAATACTTTATGAATGGTGGAAGTCTAACGAAGAGGTTAATTTTTCAAGATGGCCGCAGTTGTCATAGTTACCACGATTTTTCCACGATTTTTTAAAATGGAAAGTCAATTGCTGATGTAACTTAAAAAAAAAACTACAAAGAAATAATTGTTTCCTAACGAGTAATTAAAAAGTTTTTTTGTTTGTTTTATTACCGGAGTCTCTTCCCGTAAAACAATTTTTCAGTTTTTTATTTTTTTATTTATTCCTAAATTTTTCCTAATTTTTTTTTCCAATCCTCTACAGGATCCGAACCTTCAGTTCTAAGCTCTATATCATGTTCTTTGGCTCCGAACCTTTGTGTGTGTCTGTCAATGAAATAAACGATGGAGACGATTTCGCACCATTTGATGCGGGATTTCCCGTAGAAGGTGTTGAGGTCAGTTGCGTTTCGTTCAGTACGTCATCTAGTTTCGCTCGTTTTTGCTAAATTTTATGCTGATTTTGTACGGGATAGTTTAGACGGATTTATTTGTATAGTGTCGAGCTAGGTTAGGGGTTAGCAGAGGCGGTTAATTTGATATTATGAGTGGGTCTAATTTTTTTTGTTGGTTTTTGTTTAGGCTTAAAATATCATTGTGATTGTAATGGTTACCCAAACGTTTTATTTTCTCGACGCATGCAGACGTTGTTTTTTTTTTCAAAGCCATATGATGCGTTTTATGAAATCAACCCTTAGAAAATGAACTCATTAACCCGTTATATCTCTGTCATCATGGCATGTGTGACGTCAGATCCGCATCCTGGACGAGGAACTCCGAGAGGTCGGTGCCGGAGTGTCAGGAACCATAGTCATCAGGTCACCGACCCTTTTCACGCGCTACGTCGGAGAGCCGGACCGGACGGACGCCGTCTGGTGGAGGGACGGATGGTTCATATCCGCGGATGCTGGGTATTTGAGGTGTGTGTCACTATCAGTGCTTCTTTCAGACGTTTTATCTCCGGAGGTGGGGGGAGGGGCTTGAAACTTTAGGGAGGTGGGCGACTAGTGTTTATTCCAGCCTTTTTTCTCCGGGGGAGGGACTGTGTAAATTAATTTTCGGGGGGTGGGTCTAAAATTTCCGGGGAGGGGGGGGGGGGTGCAGAAGCTAGGCGTAACTGGTTAAAGTATGTATTTTCTCTAAGATACTTTATAATTTTTCTTCTATTTTGTCCGGAAAAGGGGGGGGGGGATGTTCTCTGATCCGTTTACTGGTGATAGATGATCGTGAACTTACTGTATAAAAATGTAAAATGTATTTTTAAAAGAAAATATTTATTAAAACAGGCTTTTAATTATACATTAAAAGAAGAAAATAAAATGATTCTCTTTAAAATTAAATAAAAGCACATTATATATACATATATATATATATATATATATATATATATATATATATATATATATATATATATATATATATATATATATATATATATAACAAGCTTTTATGTAAAAATTCACTAAATAAATATCTTTTTAAAAAGGCGTTTGGTCGGCACATTAGGTTTTTTTTTTTTAAATGGAAATTACTAGGCACATCTTCAAAGACAAATATGTTACATAGAGTAATAAAGTATAGGTGTGTACTTGTATAGATATGCACCGGAACTCCAACAGAGTTTCTTTCAGTCATTTCTCTCTTTCCCCAACCCCCGAAGCACGTCCAACGCCACCTTCTCCCCCCCCCCCCCTCACCTTTTCCTCCAGACGAACGTAATAACCCCCTCCCCCACCCCCATGAAGAAAAATGTATGATTTCAAATACTGTAAAAATGAGGTAGCACTAATACCCATTAAGACTAATTTTTATACCCTAAAGCAAGATAATCTTTTGCGAATTATCTGTTTTAAAACTTTGGATTATTGTTTAATGTCTTCCTACGTGAAAGTTAAAAAAAATCTTTTAATATAGCCTACATTGTAATTTATTTTTCACCCTTAAAATGTATATATCATTATGGTGCCGGTGGTGTTACTTTGTTTTCCGCGTAATATTGCTTGTGCTGAATTATTTTTTTTACTATTTTAAAGGGAAATAACCTAAAAAAATTGTCCAATTTTTGTCTAAGGCATTTATGAATTCATAAAAACAAAACCAAAACAGGAAATATTTCAATAAATAACATTTTAACAAACTATTTATAACGATTGTATTAAAATATGCCTTAAAACTTTTTTTTAACTTATTGTCAATTATAAGTTAAAGGTATTGTAAAGACAAAAATAAGAGTTTTTATTTGACAATATTTTTTAGACTTTCGAAACATTATTTGGTGATGTGTTGGAAAAGCAGTTATGGTGTCTTTCAATATTACTTTATGTTTGATGGATCTTGATCTATCTACCAGATCTACCATTAATTTTGACTTGAGTTTGCGCACTTGATATTGGTACCTATGTGCCAAAGTCGTTGAGAGGAGTTCATTAGACCAGGGTCGGCAACCTGCGGCTCGCGAGCCGCATGCGGCTCTTTTGATATCAAGATGCGGCTCTTCACATCCTTGAACAAATACTAATAATCTTAATAAAAAGATAAAATATTTGAAATAAAAAAATGTTAGTGGCTCTTTAAAACCAGGGAAATTTTGAAAATTGTAACTTTTGGCTCTTCCGCTTCAAAAGGTTGCCGACCCCTGCATTAGACAAATTATTAGCAGTCAACATCTCCTGCGTGTAAATCACGGCATAGCAAACATGTGGTTCTTATCATGAAAGTTTCTTTCAGGCATCTCTTCCCCAAACCCCTGAAGACAGCCTACCGCCCTCCCCCCAACTAAATAGAATTTATACAGAAAATATATATTTTTTACAGTGTCCGCCCCGCCCCCTGCCCCACGAAAAAAAAAGTCTGAAACAAACGCTGCTTATCATCGGATAGTTTCGATGTCACAACCATGCAGTGTCACGACAACACACGGCCCTTACACCATACACCTCACTAAACACGGGAAGGACGGTAGCACTGAGACCCACACATGGGTCCCTCAAACACTCAGCAACAATTCACCCACTCATACATGGGTCCCTCATACACTCAGCAACAATTTACCCACTCATACATGGGTCCCTCATACACTCAGTAACAATTCACCCACTCATACATGTGTCCCTCATACACTCAGCAACAATTCACCCACTCATACATGGGTCCCTCATACACTCAGCAACAATTCACACACTCATACATTGGTCCCTCATACACTCAGCAACAATTCACCCACTCATACATGGGTCCGTCATACACTCAGCAACAATTCACACACTCATACATGGGTCCCTCATACACTCAGCAACAATTCACACACTCATACATGGGTCCCTCATACACTCAGCAACAATTCACACACTCATACATGGGTCCCTCATATACTCAGCAACAATTCACCCACTCATACATGGGTCCCTCATACACTCAGCAACAATTCAACCACTCATACATGGGACCCTCATACTCTCAGCAACAATTCACACACTCATACATTGGTCCCTCATACACTCAGCAACAATTCACCCACTCATACATGGGTCCCTCATACACTCAGCAACAATTCACACACTCATACATGGGTCCCTCATACACTCAGCAACAATTCAACCACTCATACATGGGTCCGTCATACACTCAGCAACAATTCACGCACTCATACATGGGTCCCTCATACACTCAGCAACAATTCACACACTCATACATGGGTCCCTCATACACTCAGCAACAATTCACCCACTCATACATGGGTCCCTCATACACTCAGCAACAATTCACCCACTCATACATTGGTCCCTCATACACTCAGCAACAATTCACCCACTCATACATGGGTCCCTCATACACTCAGCAACAATTCACACACTCATACATGTGTCCCTCATACACTCAGCAACAATTCACACACTCATACATGTGTCCCTATTACACTCATCAACAATTCATACACTCATACATGGGTCCCTCATACACTTAGCAACAATTCACACACTCATACATGGAAGATGCCTGGAAGAAACTGTCGTCCCACTAGGTCATAGTCCTGTTGTCCCATTATTACATAGTCCCAATAAGACATAGTCCTGTTGTCCCATTATTACATAGTCCCAATAAGACATAGTCCTGTTGTCCCATTATTACATAGTCCCAATAAGACATAGTCCTGTTGTCCCATTATTACATAGTCCCAATAAGACATAGTCCTGTTGTCCCATTATTACATAGTCCCAATAAGACATAGTCCATTTGTCCCATTATTACATAGTCCCAATAAGACATAGTCCTGTTGTCCCATTATTACATAGTCCCAATAAGACAGTCCTGTTGTCCCATTATTACATAGTCCCAATAAGACATAGTTCTATTGTCCCATTATTACATAGTCCCAATAAGACATAGTCCTGTTGTCCCATTATTACATAGTCTCAATAAGACATAGTCCTGTTGTCCCATTATTACATAGTCCCAATAAGACATAGTTCTATTGTCCCATTATTACATAGTCCCAATAAGACAGTCCTGTTGTCCCATTATTACATAGTCCCAATAAGACATAGTCCTGTTGTCCCATTATTACATAGTCCCAATAAGACATAGTTCTATTGTCCCATTATTACATAGTCCCAATAAGACAGTCCTGTTGTCCCATTATTACATAGTCCCAATAAGACATAGTCCTGTTGTCCCATTATTACTTAGTCCCAATAAGACAGTCCTGTCGTCTCAGTAGGACAGAGGTCTGTCGTCCTACTAGGACATAGGTCTTTAGTCCCATTAGGACATAGGCCTGGGGACCACAAGGACAAAGTCACAGCATCCCATTACGACGTGCATCGTATCACGCTATGATATATGCATGTCATCAAAATTGACCAGAGTCTACCGATAAGAGCTTTCCTGGCCCCGTTAATTTCTTCAACTGTACCCAGCGGTAACCCATCTTTCTAGTATCGCTCTCCAGATCTTTTATTCCCCTATTGCCATGGCCAGAGGACATTACCCCCCCCCCCCCCCGTATTTACCACCCGGAACAATTACCCCACAGTCATTTACCACCCCTAGGTAATTACCCCCCCTCATGTTATGATCCTAATTCTAACTCAAACTCTATACCTATATAGTTCCTTAATCCTAACCTTACAAAAAATGACCAAATCCTAAGCATTCACCTCAGCCTAAAACTTAACACAAAACCAAAACCAACTCTAGACATTAGTTTTAGCCTAACCTTGAGCATAACACTAATCCTAATTATAGCCACATTTTCCTTAGCATCACCCTGACTATAACAATAATAATCCTAACCTTATATCAAGCCCTTACCCAAGTCCTTACCCTAGCCCTGTTCCCATTGGGTTGTCTTTTGTTTGTTTTTTTTCGCCTCCGACATGTAAGTTACAGCGTCAGTTTGCCTTGCATGTTCGCTTAGTATTACAGTTTTCATCATCGGCTTCTGAGGACTGATACAGATTACAATAGTAAAGCCTCTTTCTTACATGTAGCCTACTTTCATTTATTTAAAATGTATGTAAAATTAATCTATACTCAATTATTAACTTGAAATCTATAAACTATGCCTAAACTAACTAAGGACCCTATTTTATTTTAGTATTTATTTTTTAATTAAATGCAATCAATCTCATTTTCTGTTACATTACCATTTAATTTTTCAGTTTTTTGTTTGCATAAACACAGATTATTTCCCTTTAAGATTTTCTCCAAAACTATTAAGTACTAGATAAATGGCCCGTTGAGGAAGGGTACAACGGGCGCTAGGCTGATAGTGCTGTCTCTTTTCTCTAAACTAAAACCAACCCACCCCCCACACACCACCCCCACCCCACCCCCCACCCCCACACACCACCCCCACCCCCCACCACACACCACCCCCACCCCAACCCCTCACCCCCACACACCACCCCCTCCACACACCGCCCCCCCACCCCCCACCCCCCCAAAAAAAACATGTCTACCGTCCCATTCAACGAAATATAATTATATACTTTTTCCAGTGTCCGCCCCCTCCCAGAATATTCTACCCCCGCCCCCGAAAATTTCAAGTACCCCCCACCCCTCTCCGGGGAGGAAAAAGTCTGAAAGAAACACTGAAACCAACCCACCCCCCCACACACCACCCCCCACCCCTACACACCACCCCCCCCCCACCCCTCCACCCCTCCCCCCCAACCCCCCCAAAAAAAAAAACATGTCTACCTTCCCATTGCAAGAAAACCACTTTTTAGATTAGACACATTAATTAGGCTGTAATTTTATTATAGAGTATCGATGAGGAAATTTCTTTTGAGTTGGGGAGGGGGGGGGGCTCAGACGTTCTTACGCGGGGGGTGGGGCTTCGCCCCTACCCGAAGAATTGTATGCAAGAAACTCTTCACGCAAACCATTTAGATTAGACAACATTTCCTTTTTTTCAATGTTTACGCGATAATCAATGACGTCATATTACTGTGTGCACTCTCTGGTTTGAGATTATGTTCTACTCTACGCTAAATGTGTCGACGTCATATTTCGTTTTTCGAATTACTGTGCATGTTTTTATTTTGCTTGTGTTTTCTCTAGAGCGTTCTTGTCAGACAGAGCGTTCTTGTCAGACAGCGAAACTATTAGTATTAATTGCGTGTCAACCTGTTATGCGCCATGTAAACCATTGATTCCGAAAAGCCAGCTTTTCTTGTTCAATTTGCTTCCATAGCCTTTGTCCATCCAGGAAGGAACTACAAGTTGTTTGGTTTTGGGGAATTTTCTCCTAGCTGGGTTGCTGTGGGTTCGAACTCGGGACTTTTCGGTTTGACAACCATGCTTGGCATTTAGTGCTGACTTCACAAATAGGAACTTTAATCAGAAATCGTCTAAAACCAAAATTAAAACCACTAATACAATAAACTTGAATAAACATTTTTAATGATGTCTCGCACCTCTTAAAAATATTGTCAAACAAAAACTTTTCTTTTTGTCTTTAAAATACATTTAAGTTATAATTAATATTAAGTTTATAAAAAAATTCTAAAGGCATATATTAATACAATCTTTAAAATGCTTTTGTTAAACCTGTTAATTATTGAAATATTTCCTGTTTTATATTGTTTTTATGCATTCGTGAATGCCTTAGACGAAAATTGGACTATATTTTAGGTTGTATCCCTTTACCCTAGTAAAAAAAAAATAATTCCGCACAGGCAATATTACGAGGAAAACAGTAACACCAGAGGCGTAGCGAGGGGGGGGGGGGTCGGGGGGGGAGTGCGGATCCCACCTGGTGACACCATTTAGAGCGGTGACACCAAGGCAAAAAAGAGCAAAATTTATAGAGAAAAACTTGAGTGGGGGGGGGGGGGCAAATCGAAAGTTCGAGGGGGGGGGGGGGGGGTGCAAATCGAAAGTTTGTTCCCGGGAAGGGTTCCTACGCCTCTGAGAGGGGGGTGACACCATTAAGTGCCGCACCGGGTAACACCCGACCACGCTCACCACTGAGTAACACCACTCCGATTCCATTCTCCACATTGCAATATTTTGCTCGTTGATTATTAAAATCATATAAGGTATACGGTTTACTACACTGAAAAAAATGAATGTATTGTACCTAAGTAAGCTGACAATGGGTTTTTTTTTATTTTTGTTTTTGCAGCCCCGAGGGTCGTGTTTTTGTGTTTGGTCGAAGTGGTGACGTCATTTCTAGAGGTAAAAAACAAGTTAACTGGGAATGTCCAAAAAAGTGTGTCTTATGACACGTTATAGATAGATGCATTTATCTCAGACATATATTTTAAGCATTTGACTAACCTACCCTAAGTGTACTAATTTAACTTAATATTTTAGGAATTGTATTTACCCTTATATTTTAGACATTTCACTAAAATCCGTAACATTTTAGACATCGAACTAACCAAACCTAATATTAAAGGCATTGTACTAGCATCCCATAATATTTTAGGCATTGTACTAATATCCCATAATATTTTAGGAATTATACTAACATCCCATAACATTTTAGGCATTGTACTAATCTAACCTAATATTTAAGGCATTGTACTAGTATCCTATAATATTTTAGGCATTGTACTAACCATCCCATAATATTTTAGGCATTGTACTAACATACCATAATATTTTAGGCATTTAACTAACATCCCATAATATTTTAGGCATTGTAAAAACATCCCATAATATTTTAGGCATTGTACTAACATCCCATATAATTTTAGGCATTGTACTAACATCCCATAATATTTTAGGCATTGTACTAACATCCCATAATATTTTAGGCATTGTACTAAAATCCCATAATATTTTAAGCATTGTACTAACATACCATAATATTTTAGGCATTGTACTATCATCCCATAATATTTTAGGCATTGTAATAACATCTCATAATATTTTAGGCATTGTAATAACATCCCATAATATTTTAGGCATTGTACTAACATCCCATAATATTTTAGACATTGTACTAACATCCCATAATATTTTAGACATTGTACTAATATCCCATAATATTTTAGGCATTGTACTAACATCCCATAATATTTTAGGCACTGTACTAACATCCCATAATATTTTAGGCATTGTACTAACACCCCATAATATTTTAGGCATTGTACTAACATCCCACAATATTTCAGACATTGTACTAACATCCCATAATATTTTAGGCATTGTACTAACATTCCATAATATTTTAGGCATTGTACTAACATCCCATAATATTTTAGGCATTGTACTAACATCCCATAATATTTTAGGCATTGTACTAACATCCCATAATATTTTAGGCATTGTACTAACTTACCCAGCGTGGGTCGAGAAACCAATCAGCTCTCACCCGGAAGTACTCGAGATCATGGCGGTTCCGGTCCCAGACGACATCAACGTGGAGAACATCTGCGCATGCGTGGTCAAAAAACCCGGAAGTGATCTGACGGAGACGGCCGTGAAGCAGCTGGTCAAGGACAGCATGACGTCAGACGGCTCCTATTACATCACCGTCGATCACGTGCTGTTCTTCGATGAGGCCCTCCCCAAACTGTCCAGGAAAAAACTTGGCCAGCTGGCCGCTGTTCGACTTGGCTTGTTGGCATTCTGATTGTTGGCCATCTGATTGTTGGCCATCTGATTGTTGGCCATCTGATTGTTGGCCATCTGATTGTTGGCCATCTGATTGTTGGCCATCTGATTGTTGGCCATCTGATTGTTGGCCATCTGATTGTTGGCCATCTGAAATATAAAAGATCTGTATCAAGGTTTACATGATCTGAAATATAAAAGATCTGTATCAAGGTTTACATAATCTGAAATATAAAAGATCTGTATCAAGGTTTACATAATCTGAAATATATAAAATCTGTATCAAGGTTTACATAATCTGAAATATAAAAGATCTGTATCAAGGTTTACATAATCTGAAATATATAAAATCTGGATCAAGGTTTACATAATCTGAAATATGTAAAATCTGGATCAAGGTTTACATAATTTGAAATATAAAAGATCTGTATCAAGGTTTACATAACCTAAATCAGCTATTAAATTAACTAAAAAAGCATGTGTTTTTTTTTTTCCATTAAGGTTAATTTTTTTTTCTGGTGTCACCTCTTTCCCCCCGCCCCACACTCCAACGCCAGCTATTGGGTGGTTTAACCGGTACTGATGGTGTAGGCCCAAACCATATTGGTACTGCAGTTCATTCTAAATATAAATTAATACATTTAATTTCCGTATGACTATTCTTAAATGTATAATAATGTCTTATATAATATTTGTGTGTACATGTACCGTACGATAGAGTTTATCTTTTTTAAGTTATAACAGTAAACATGCGATAGTGTTTTAAACTAAATATTGACAATGTTTAATATTTTGTCAAATAATTATTTCTGTGGCAATTCAAAAACAAACTCCCAAAAAAACTAGCTAAAACTGTTTTCAACAACACCTAAAGGTTTACTAATTGCAAGCATATGTGGCGGGGTTGATGACCGCGTGAAGTATTTCTACTGGAGAAACTCTGTGAGGTGAGGTCGCAACTCGCCCGTTAAAGCTTAACTCAACATTAGAAAATATTTTTAACAGTGCCGGAGTTAGGTCAGGTCTAGCGTTAAGGTCAGGGTTATGGTCAATGTTTCTTTCAGATTTTTTCCACGAGACAGGGGGTCGGGTGAGGGGGCGCACAGTGGTAAAAATATATGTTGCTCCCCCCCCCCCCCCCCCTTCCGAGGAGATAACTGAAAGAAAAGCTGTTTCAGATACCAGGAGAAAGTAGTTTATAGATTTGTTACGTAGGCGATGTATGTGTTATGTGCAACAAAAAATTATTATATTAGAATATATATATATATTTATATATATATATATATATATATATATATATATATATATATATATATATATATATATATATATATATATATATAAGTATATATATATATATATATATATATATGTATGTATATATGTATATATATATATATATATATATATATATATATATATATATATATATATATATATATATATAAGCATGCAGATAATTTCAAGAAAAGTTTCATTCTGAATAATATTTCAAAATAAAATGATAAATTATATTTTTCTTTAAAAAAAAAAGTAATCAATTATATCACAGCGTTGAAGGGGGAATAGCCGCGTTAAATATTTGTACTTATTGTAACTATGAGTAGCTGCGCTTGATTTTTTTTTTTATTAAGTTAGGCAAATAGGTAGTGTTTGAAAATTTTATGTCTAGTCTAGAGTTAGGAGTAAATAAAAGAATAAAAATTCGGGAGGCATTGTTTTAATATTTACATCAATTATTTTTGTATATGTATATAATTATACCACCTTACAGCGCTACTCACACTCGTTGGTTGAGTACTTCACGTGTGGCCCGCACGTGTGAGTGAGAACATATCCCGGCATGTCGCCGCGATGTCAACGGACGGTATGACCTAGTTTCACGGAAGACATCGAGATTCCAGAGCTGACATGTCTGTGTCAGTGACATCATGTCGCGTGCCACTTGTCACTCGTGTCATGAGATTTATTTTTTCCCCTCCGTGACAGTGTCACATCCGTGTTTTTATATCGCTCGTGTCAGACGGTCACTTACAAGCTATCAGAGAGTATTGCATCAGAGGTGTTGGTTATATATAGTTTATCATAAGGGTTTGCCGCATTTCGCCGGTTGAGGGTTTAATACTTTTTGGAGACAAATACGACAGCAAGGCTTTATACGCTTTATTTAACATTATTTTTAAATTTCCTTAATGGCTTATAGCAAGAGGACACGTGGTCGGACAGGAGAGCGTGTGGTTGATTATTACAGAAGTTCAGAGTTCGAACCCCGGGCATATGAGAATTGTTAGCTGGGGACTGAAACACATCTATGAGTGAAAAAAATCCAAACTTATCTGTTGTCATTTAGGTATTGTATTAAACTACCCTAATCCAAACTTAACTGTTGGCTTTAGATATTCTACTAACCTACCCTAATCCAAACTTAACTGTTGTCATTTAGGTATTGTATTAAACTACCCTAATCCAAACTTAACTGTTGGCTTTAGATATTCTACTAACCTACCCTAATCCAAACTTAACTGTTGTCATTTAGGTATTGTATTAAACTACCCTAATCCAAACTTAACTGTTGGCTTTAGATATTCTACTAACCTACCCTAATCCAAACTTAACTGTTGTCATTTAGATATTGTACTAACCTACCCTAATCCAAAATTAACTGTTTGCGTTAGATATTGTACTAACCTACCTTAATTCAAACTTAACTGTTGGCTTTAGATATTGTACAAACCTACCCTAATTCAAACTTACCTTTTTTTTTAGCAAAAGACATGTTGTTGAGCAGTGTGGTATGTTCTTATACCAAATGACACATGGTTCGTTTGTGAGCAGTGTGGTAGGTGAAGTAGAGGATACCACTACATATGAGGGAAGAAAGTGAGTTCCCTGTGGTGGGTCGATGTGTTGAAGAGAGAACTCGATGTGATTGGACTAAATAGGCTGCTCTGTAGTACATGGGCTTAGTACTTGGGCTTTGTAGTACCTGGGCTTAATACTCGGGGTTTTTAGTACTAGGGCTTTGTAGTACCTGGGCTTAGTACTTGGGCTTTGTGGTACCTGGATAAGGTACTAGGCAGGGGCGGAACTACCATACCGCCAGACCCCGCAATGCGGGGGGGCCCAGGACGTTTAGGGGCCCAGTTCCGACCAAAAAACAATGCATTTTTTTTCAAAAATTATGTTTTCATGCATCTTGAAAGTGGTTTTGTAAAAAAAAAAAACAGGTCTACTATAGCAGAGATTGTTGCGTAGAAAAATATTTTAAAATCTACAAGAGCTATAGTTTGAAAGGTAGGTAAACATTCACACTACTTCCATGACTTACTGCCCTTCTTTAAAATAGGGATGCCCACGAAGCTCATTTAAATAGTTTTGTACTATGTATATTAAAAAGCAATTGATTCTCTGAATTGTTACTGAAATAAGACGTACTATACAATAGTATAGCTATAAAAATCAATGTTTTCAAAATTAATATTATAAAAGCCAAAAAGGAAAAAAATAAACATAACGCGAGAAACCATTCACGAATCAAGCTAACGTCTTTATATTTTTTTGACCAGCATTTTCAATACACTGCTCGCTAGTCGGAATGAGTTTGGACTAAATTTTTTCTGTTTTGTTCTCTGAGAATGGTTATATATTGCAATGAAGTAGACTAAATTACTCAGTTAGGATATAGATCATATATATATATATATATATATATATATATATATATATATATATATATATATATATACACAGGGGGCCCTAGATTTTTCTTTGCGGGGGAGCCCTTGATTTCTAGTTCCGCCACTGGTACTAGGGCTTTGTAGTACCTGGGCTTAGTACTTGGGCTTTGTAGTACCTGGATAAGGTACTAGGGCTTTGTAGTACCTGGGCTTAGTACTTGGGCTTTGTGGTACCTGGGATAAGTACTTGGGCTTTGTGGTACCTGGGCTTTGTAATACCTGGGCTTAGTACTCGGGCTTTGTAGTACTTGGGCTTTGTAGTACTTGGGCTTTGTAGTACTTGGGCTTTGTAGTACCTGGGCTTAGTACTTGCGCTTTGTGGTACTTGGGATAAGTACTTGGGCTTTGTAGTACGGGCTTTGTAGTACCTGGGCTTAGTACTTGGGCTTTGTAGTACCTGGGATAAGTACTTGGGCTTTGTAGTACCTGGGTTAAGTACTTGGGCTTTGTAGTACCTGGCCTTTGTAGTACATGGGCTTTGTAGTACCTGGGCTAAGTACTTGGGCTTTGTAGTACCTGGGTTTAGTACTTGGGCTTTGTAGTACCTGGGCTAAGTACTTGGGCTTTGTAGTACCTGGGTTTAGTACTTGGGCTTTGTAGTACCTGGGCTAAGTACTTGGGCTTTCTAGTACCTGGGCTTTTTAGTACTTGGGATTTGTAGTACCTGGGTTAAGTACTTGGGCTTTGTGGTACCTGGGCTTAGTACTTGGGCTTTGTAGTACCTGGGCTAAGTACTTGGGCTTTCTAGTACCTGGGCTTTTTAGTACTTGGGCTTTGTAGTACCTGGGCTAAGTACTTGGGCTTTGTAGTACCTGGGTTTAGTACTTGGGCTTTGTAGTACCTGGGCTAAGTACTTGGGCTTTGTAGTACCTGGGTTTAGTACTTGGGCTTTGTAGTACCTGGGCTAAGTACTTGGGCTTTGTAGTACCTGGGTTTAGTACTTGGGCTTTGTAGTACCTGGGCTAAGTACTTGGGCTTTCTAGTACCTGGGCTTTTTAGTACTTGGGCTTTGTAGTACCTGGGTTAAGTACTTGGGCTTTGTGGTACCTGGGCTTAGTACTTGGGCTTTGTAGTACCTGGGCTAAGTACTTGGGCTTTCTAGTACCTGGGCTTTTTAGTACTTGGGCTTTGTAGTACCTGGGCTAAGTACTTGGGCTTTGTGGTACCCATGTACCACCTGGGTATAGTACATGAGATGTGTACTAGTCATATAGTACCTGGGCTGAATATTCTCGAGAACAAATGTAACCTGCGCAAATCGTCTTTTTCCAAGGTTTCATTCGTCATCATCCTTTCTATCTCGACCACTGTAATAAGTTTTTAATTTTTTTTTTAAACAGTTATTTACAACTTTAAACTATGAGATGAAAACTGAAGTCTCCGTGACATTGCTAAAACAAAAATAACATTGGTTAAGGGTTGTCTATAAATGACGTCATACTCGTAGGCGGGATGGAGGAAGGGTTCCCTAATTTTGTAACTTTGTGTCATGATGGTGGGGGGGGGGGGGGGGGGGGGGTGTAGAAATGTGTGACGGTACTTTTGCTTTTTAAATAAAAGAAATGTTAGAAACTGAATTTCTGTCGTTATTTCGCGGTTTTGAAAAAAAAAAGTGTGTGTAAATTGTGATAGAAATGGATTAATATATTCTATGTTAACCAAGCTCAGAGGCGTAGCGAGGGGGGAGGGCGGGGGGTGCGAACCGCACCGGGTGACACCATTCAGGGGGGGGGGGTGACACAAAGGCAAAAAATAGCAAAATATATAGAGAAAAACTTGAGGGGGGTGCAAATCGAAAGTTTGTCCCCGGGAAGGGTGGCTACGCCTCTGGGGGGTGACACCATTAAGTGCCGCACCGGGTGACACCCGACCTCGCTACGCCACTGACCAAGCTTAGTCAATAATTTAGAAAGAAATCGATGGTTTAAAAAACAATAATATACTGTAATTTTATAGGTGGAAGTTGTAGGATAAGGTGTGAAAGTCATTTTTTCTTGGGGGGGGGGTATGTCTGGACTTTCTGTGACGATGTGTGACGAAGGTGAGGTAAAAATCGGCAAAAAAAAAAACGTGACGTCATATATGGATGGACCCCCCCCCCCCTTCCCCCAACACAAAATAACAATGGCACTGCGGCAACCAGCGTGCCGGCAAGCACGCGCGTCCCCCTCCCTGCGTATCGCTATCGACCGCCGGTTGCGACGCCCGCAGTTCGCCGCCCCTGTTCCACACGGCTTCGGGAGGAGATCGCTACCGAAACTCCGATACGATGCTAGCGCTGATCAAGATGATTCATCAAGCGATGCCAGAACGATACTTGTATTCCTGCCAGATTGGCATCTTCGAGCCAAACGTCTATTTTATTATTTTTTTTGGATTTTTTTTTTTTTTTTTTGTTTTTTTTTTTTTTAATAATTTTTTAATGATACTTTGTAGTTTGGTATATCTTAATCGTAAATACAAAAATTTGAAATCAATATTTACAGTTTAAAAAAAAAATTAAACAAATATTCGCCTCACTGTTATGCCTTCTCATTTTCTTATCATACCTTTTCATTACACTTTAAAAAAAAAAAATTTAAAAAAAATGGCTGAAATCAATACAACAATTATTTTCATTTTTTTAACCTACATTGATTAAATAATGTAGGCCTAGGCTTATATATAGGTTTTTTTTATATATTTCATTTGGAATAAACAATACAAATTAACTATAAATTTGTTTGGCCGAAAAATATTCCGTTTGGCTTGGGGGCGATGATTTTGTCCTGGCCACGCGCAGCGCTATGTCGTGTTGTCGGTAGCAACTGGGTTTTCTTGGTCGTGCGCGGTCTTAGCAGTGCAAAATAAATGCTTTCTCGTGCGCAGGACGGAGTAGGTGAATTTCTGAGCGAGCCACGGGGAGCACAGTCTACCGTTCCGAGTGTGTTGTGGTCGTTTGCTGTGTCGAGACACATCTGTTAAAAATGTTAGATAGAGATCAGATGGGGTGGTGTGTGGACAGTATATTCAGTGTTGTTTAGTGTTCTTGGAATGGAGTTATCTTAAAAATTGAGGTATTGGTTTTAGTTTGTTGTGATTAGACTGATAAATAAATCGGGTATTGATTTATTTTTTTAATTTATTTTTTTTATTATACTTTAGTGTCTTCGTGAGTCTTTTTTTTTGTTATTTTTTTTTTCTTTTTAATCGAATGGTCTAATTTTACTAAAAGGGTTTTGAATTTTTAATCCCAATAGCTCCGGGCTAATGGTAATTACGTTGTCTAACATTATTACTATTACCGTTTAGACAGGTACGCTTGTCGAAATATTTTATTCTTGTCTACATGCGACCTTGACCTTCCTAGTTCCTGGAGTTTTTCTAGAACTGAGTGAGCGATAGTGAGAATTGTATAGAGCACAAATTGTTTGGGCAATTGTTTGACATAGTACCGGCACTGTTTCTTTTGATCCAGTGACTATACCGGTACTATTGGGTGTAGGTGTGTACTCATTCAAAGCATGGTACTTAGGTCGGTATACCAGCAGTGCACTACGCGCGATGAAAGTATACTCATAATATACTTATAATATACTCTTAATATACTCACGCTATACTCTTACCCTACTCATGCCATACTCATACTGTGCTCATTCCCTTTTCATACCATACACATACTTTACTTATAATATACGCATCTCCTACTTATAATATACGTATTTCCTACTCAGATTATACTTATCCCCTACTCACACTTCACTCATACTATACCAGAGTTTCTTCCAGGCATCTCTTCGGGGGGGGGGGGGGGGGGCTTCGCCCCCCCGAAAAAAATTTACCGCCCCCCCCCCCCCCCCGAACGAAATGAAATTTATATAATTTATATAGAAAATATATACTTTTAACAGTGTCCGCCCCCCCCCCCCGAAGAAAGTTTACCGCCCCCCCCCGAAGATTTCAAGTGCCCCCCCCCCCCGGCGAAAAAAGTCTGGAAGAAACACTGTACTATACCCACACTAAACTCATATTTTACTCATACCATTGTCATACTATACACAACCTTTCACTCATACTATAACCATACTATACTCATACCCTACTCATAATATACCCATTTCTTAATCATACTATCTCATTCCTTAATAATTCTATACTCATTCATAACAATACTATACTCATACCCTACTCATACTAAACCCATTTCCTAATCATTCTATACTCATTCCTACCCATATTATACTCATACCATACTCATTCCGTACGCATAATTATACCCATGTTATACCCACATTATACCCATGCTATACCCACACTATCCACACTACACCCCCACACTACCCACACTATACCCACACTATACCCACACTATACCCACACTACCCACACTATACCCATGCTATACCCACACTATCCACACTACACCCCCACACTACCCATACTATACCCATGCTATACCCACGCTATACCCACACTACACCCCCACTATACCCACACTATGCCCACACTACCCACACTATACCCACACTACACCCCCACTATACCCACACTATACTCACACTATACCCACACTATACCCACACTATACCCACACTACCCACACTATACCCATGCTATACCCACACTATCCACACTACACCCCCACAATAACCACACTATACTCACACTATGCCCACACTATACCCACACTATACCCCTATACCCCCACTATACCCACACTATACCCACACTATACCCACACTATACCCCCACTATACCCACACTATACCCTCACTATACCCTCACTATACCCCTATACCCCCACTATACCCACACTATACCCACACTATACCCACACTACACCCCCACACTACCCACACTATACCCACACTATACCCTCACTATACCCACACACTACACTATCGGCGCGACGAATAGTCCCGACATCTCCATTTTCCAGGCCCGATTCTATTTCTCTTCTTTGAGGCTGAACGAGTGGATCGATGGGCGAGGAATACCTAGGCCTCGGCAAACGGAGAGGGTTATCGATTGTCACCTTTAACCTTTGGACATGCATGTAATGCCAGAGATGGGGGGGGGGTAGGGTCCCCGTGTTCTGTGGGGATGGGGGTCTTTATGTGTGTAGATACTTAACTACTCCCTCCCCCCCCCTCTCTCTGTTTAAAAAAAATCTATGAGTAAAGAGTCCCCTGTTTTGTATATAGAAAACTAGCGCTTATCAGTAGATATAAAGAAACTTGTGCCATGTTAATTAGGAAACCATTTTACCATTTCAACAAATTTCTACCCTAGAGTTTTAACAGACAACTGCGTGTATTTAAAAAAGTAAAGTCACAAGTCTGAACCAACCGAGATCCGAACTCGAGACTTTCGTGCTAGCAGCCGAAAGTTCTACCACTCGACCACGCCGTCAGGAAGACATGATATATAGAAGATTAAATTCTCATTGAACCCCCTCTAAAACCTTCCATCATTACGCCTTGAACAATTTCAATTACCAAAAAAGTACAAGCAAAAATCATGAGCTATATAATCCCCAAAAATAACCTCTACACATATTCCAACAATAACTTTGATTTAAAGGTTTTTGTAAGACAATATGTCACGTGGTCCTACCGCCTCTAGTAGAACTAAACATCTAGTTAATTTTAATATAATTACTTAGGCCAAACACTTAACAGGCAAAAGTTGAGATAGAAAATATCCAATACAGTTTACTTTACATCTGAATTCGAATTCAGCCTCCATCTTTAAATTTTTAACTCATTTCTGTCTACGAAATAATATCCCTACTCAAATTTCTATTGAGCCTAACACGCTTATTCTTGTAATGAAACATTAGTCAGATTTCTCTTAAGCCTAATACTCCTTTTTCCACAACAACAACAAAAAAATTAAAAAAACATAATTCGTTATAGTGCTCTCCCTTTGTCCGCGGCCATGACAGATGTAGAACATGAGCCTGGTGCCGCCCCCCAGCCCGCTCTGACATCACGCCATGCCTTTGTATGGGCCGTCAGCTGTCCGACAGCACGCTGATCGTGGCCATTGTTGTTGTTGATCGCCCGAGCCTCGTTGTCGTCATTAGAGCGAGCACTGGAGGCTTAGCCGTACCACACAACGGGCCGGGGACAGCGGAGATGCTACATGTACAGATTAGTAATGCCAGAGATTATGGATTCAGGAATCCTCTCCCTCTCACTTATGTCATAGATAAATATAGTCTATATATATATATATGGATTTATATATAGGGATATATATATATATATATATATATAAATAGGTATATATAAAAGTATATATAAATATATATATATAAATATGGGGATGGCGTTGTGGAATGGTATAGCTTGAGGAACCCGAGTTCTAATCCACCCAGCTCAGGTAGATACATTAAATTGATCACACTTTCCCTTCATATTCAGAGGTCATTTAATAAACTCTACTTCACCTGCACCCTGAACCGTAAGCTTCGAAAAAGTTCTTTACTTAATACATACATACAGTCATACACACACACATGCAAACAAACATGCATAGGGGTGTAAATACATAGAAACACAGATCAATGTATATACGTTGATTAAATGTCTAAAAGTGTCTAATCACAAATGTTGCTGTTACCTAAGTATATAAGCTTGGCTAGACTTACTCTATAGTCGTTAGAGCTGCTGTATCTACCGTGTATCTACCCGTGATCCCATCAATAAATCCCATCTTTAAAAAAAATAATCTTCACAAACACGTCATGCTGCAGTGGGTGATACACTAGTACGTCACTCATCTAAATCGGTACCAACTCAACGCCACCAATTATACATTAATTGCCCCCCCCCCACACACCCCTGCCAATTCCACCCCCACCCCCACCCCCCTCGATCTGTCTCATACGTCTGTATTGATTTCGATCAAACCCTGGCATTCGTCTTTAACCCGTTAACCAATCCTTTCGATATCTTTAAAACTCAACTTGCGTGTTTTTTGAGAAAGAAAAAATAAAAACAGCCGTTGAGCTAATTCTGTCAGTAGTGTAACATTTCTATCCCCCCCCCCACAATTTTTCCTTCCCCCCACACCTCACACACCACCACACCACCACCAACAAACAAACCACTCTGGTAACCTCACATTCACAGCGGTGACAATCACAATGTATTGATCAGCTAACCGGTGTGGAATCTGACGAGTTTTTTTTTCTCTCTCTATCACGAATACGTCCTGTAAGGGTTAAAAATAAGACGCGTCATAGTACCCAACCCCTCCCTCCCCTAATCCCCACCCCCCCCCCCCCCTCCCCCACACCTGTGTAATGCTGGAATCGACATGGGGGATTAGAAGAATTGGGTCACCCTCTGAGATGACGAAATTGGGCGATGGTGGCTGGTAATTTGTCAATGATTGGCACACAATTTGTGAATCGGATGACGTCGTGCTTGTACTGTATCTTGATGGCGGTCGGTTTTGTGTTTCCCCCCCCCCCCCCCATCCCAATCCCCCGCTCTTCCCCAGTGAGTGACGTTTATTGTGTTCTATTCGGATGACGCTTCATTTTTTTTTTTTAAATATTCCTTTGACGTGTTTTCTGGTACACGGAAAAGACATGATTTTTATTTATCTGTGGCTAAATTTGGTAAAGGCGTGTTTTATTGAGTTAAGTTCCGATGACAGCGCAATATGAATTTTATTTTTCCGGCTCTCCGGAAAATAATGCTTTTTAAAAAGAGACGAGGGGTCGGCGTTGTCGAGTCGGTAAAGCTCATGGTTGCTAAACCGAAAACCTCGAGTTCGAACCCTCGGGCAGATGAGGCTCGTTAGCTGGGGACAGCCACTCTTCTAGGAGAGACAACTCCAAAATCAAACAACTGCTGCCTTGTAGTTTGTTCTTGGTTGGACAAAGGCTATGGAAGCAAATCCAAAAAGAAAAGCAGGCTGAAATCGGAGTCAATGGCCTCAATGGCGCATAACCAGTTGACACGAAATCCTTAATTGTGATGGAAGCATGGTCGAGTCGGCAAAGCTCATGGTTCATAAATTTGAAAAAAGTCTCGAGTTCAAACCCTCTGGCAGATAAGGCTCGTTCCCTTCCAAAACTAAAAATTAAGAACGAAGAAGAAGAAGAAGAAGAAAAAGAGACGGCGTTATGAATACGACTATCGGTACAGGCCAAGGACCAATGAACTAGGACAAGAGTTAAAGTATTAGCAGATTATCTCGATTGTTATGACGCTGTTAGGACTGTCTATTTACAGTTCAGCTGGGTCGATTTCGAAAAATCGCGCACGAATTTAGTTGATAGCCTTTTGTCCATCTTTTATCAACTAAAACGTTAAGTTTTTGTTTTTAAAGCGAATTGTAACGAAGACGAGTCTTATGGGACGGCGTGGCCTAGAGGTAGAGCGCTAGACTTCAAAACCTTAAGTCACGCGTTCGAATCCGGGATAAAGTGAGTAGAATGTCCCTAAGTCGACCCAGTTCTGATGGGAAAGCGGGCGGCTGGGCATAGTGTTGACCACACTATTTCTTCATAGGCCGAGGTCACAGAAAAAGTTGAACTCTACTTCACTCGCCTCAAGGACCGACAAGTTTGAAAAGGGGACTTTACTTTTATGAGGACAATGACTAGCTAGCCTTATAAACAAATCTTTTTATTGCCAATATTTTCTTTAAAGAAAATTGATTATTTTCTTTAAAAAAAAGATTTTCAGAGGGGGGGGGGGAGGGGGGCAAGCAGATAATTTGTTATCTATTATGGCGAGAGAAGGAGACAGGTACATGCATCGAGTGTGATTTGAAGGAAAGATGAAGGGTTTTCGTTTTTTAGATTTACCTATGAAATGAACAGGAAAAGACAAATGAAGGTCAAGGTCAGACCATGTAGCTTGGATAACGCACTGTATTATGAAACCTCCCGCATATATCGCCAGTAGTTTAACAATATGAGGTGGGGGGTGGGGCGTACAAGTAAATAAGGGCGACTGCATAAGATAGATTGCCTTGATGTATAGCTAGGTACTATTTCTATGTTTCGATTTTTAAATTATTTTTTTGTTTGCGGTTTCTTTTTTTTTTTTTGTGGTGGTCATTATATTTCAATTGGCTTTGTATTAGTATTGGTAATATTTGTTCTTAATGTTGGCGATTTGGTTTGGGGAAAAAAATTCTTGACCCCGGCATTGATTTCTTGTGTTATGTGGTTACCTCATACATCTCAGCCAGACTTGGAAAAATAAGCAGTGAAGTTTCTTTCTTGTGTGTGTGTGAGTGTGTGGCTTGATCTAACACCTAACCCAAAGGATCATGTCTCACGCGCATAAGGATGACCTCTACGTTGGGCCCTACAGACTGGAGAAGACGCTGGGTAAAGGTCAGACTGGTGAGTAGTTTTTTTTTTGTACTTACGTTTGTGTTGTATGTAGGGCTTAGTGCGCATGCGTGAAGAGTGGAGGGGGGGGGGGGCATTTTTAATGAAAGATTGAATTAGGGGCTAGGTGCCAGGGGCAATGTGTTGTTGTTAATTGATTAACGATGTGTGTGCATAATTATAATTAATTACGAATTAGTAGCTTTGATATTTTTACTCTTACTAAAAGGTGTCATAATTTGCTGTACATGGTATTAGTAGGTTTGATATTGTAGAAGTTTCATAGTAAAGACCAAACGTGCTATATACAACAAACAGTGTATATATATATATATATATATATATATATATATATATATATATATATATATATATATATGATTGGTCAACATTGTAATAGCCAAAAAAAACAAATTGTATCAATGTTTATTTTCTGCATCCCCCCCCCTCCCCCACAACCCCTGCCCGTCGTTGTTATTGCTAGGATTCCACTTTTCCCATCGGCCTTATACCTCTTCCCTTTTACCTTCCAATTGCCCCTATAGTTCTACTATCCATTTTTCCAATTGTCCCTATAGTGCTACTTTATCCACCATTCCAATAGTCCGTATAGTTCTACTATTCACCTTTAAAATTGTCCCTATAGTTCTACTAATCATTTTTCCAATTGTCCCTATAGTTCTACTATCAACATTCCATCCCTATAGTTCTACTATCCAATTGTGGATATAGTTCTACTATCCACCCAATTGTCCCTATAGTTCTACTACTACTATCCACACTCCAATTGTCCGTATAGTTCTACTATCCACACTCCAATTGTCCCTAGAGTTCTACTATCCACATTCCAATTGTCCCTATAGTTCTACTACTACTATCCACACTCCAATTGTCCCTATAGTTCTACTATCAACATTCCATCCCTATAGTTCTACTATCCAATTGTGGATATAGTTCTACTATCCACCCAATTGTCCCTATAGTTCTACTACTACTATCCACACTCCAATTGTTCCTATAGTTCTACTATCCACACACCAAATGTCCCTATAGTTCTACCATCCACACTCCAATTGTCCCTATAGTTCTACTATCCACACTCCAATTGTCCCTATAGTTCTACTATCCACACACCAAATGTCCCTATAGTTCTACTATCCACACACCAAATGTCCCTATAGTTCTACTATCCACACACCAAATGTCCCTATAGTTCTACTATCCACACACCAAATGTCCCTATAGTTCTACTATCCACACACCAAATGTCCCTATAGTTTTACTATCCACACACCAAATGTCCCTATAGTTCTACTATCCACACACCAAATGTCCCTATAGTTCTACTATCCACACACCAAATGTCCCTATAGTTCTACTATCCACACACCAAATGTCCCTATAGTTCTACTATCCACACACCAAATGTCCCTATAGTTCTACCATTCACCCTTCCTATCGCCCTTACTGACTTTCTCCAAACTCCCTTGACCTGCGCGTACATCGATTTCCCATTTCAAGTTATTTTTATCCATTATTCACATCATTCTCCTGCAGTGCTTTCCATTCTCATATCCTGGTCGTCGTCAGCTTGCTTTCATTTTACCCCCACCCCCACCACCCCCACCACCCCCACCTCCCAACACCCTCCCTACCCCGCCCTCCGTTCACATAAAAAGCAGTGAAAGACCTGGATAATCAAAGGTCCGCGTGACCTCGTTTTACTCACTCACTGCGCATGACTCACGTGCGGGACAATGCATGATGGATGTACTCACTGGTTAAAGCCATCCCTCCCCTCCCCCTTCCTGTAATTTAAAGCCCCCCTTCCCTCCCCCTTATTGTATTTTTATCATACTTGACCGTAAGGAATTATTGTCTTCATGTCGGCGCATGAGCTGGATATTGAACACAATGCATGATGGTGAGTAAAACATGCACTTTCAGGTAGATGCAACATGCATTACAACATGCACGGGCGGACACGAAAAATAAGTTAAGAATCATGTGACATTCTCACCACTCCCACTCCCACACCACCCCCACCCCACACTCACAAACTTTTAATAAATATTGAGAGTACCTGTAAACGCAATTTAAATTTAAACTGCAATTCTTACTTCTTAGTGTATAGGGTATTTTACAATATCCTATGGTTTAACTTAAAAGTCTAAGACCATTTAAAAAAAAAATTGTATCCACCAAAATTTGTGGTAATTTTTATTTACTTATCTATGGTAATCCCATTTATTTATCTGAGGTAATTCACACTAATTTATCCGCAATAACTTCCATCTACTTATGTATGGTAACTCTACCATTTACTTACCTATGGTAATTCCCATTCACTTATGTATGGTAAATGGGTCTAGGACACTACCCCCCCCTTCAATTACACCACCCCTGACATCCACCCCCCGACTTTACCCGCCCCCCCCCCCCCCGGAGCAATCACCCCCTGTCAATTACCCCCCCCCCCCCCGCCCAATGGGACATTATCGGGAGGGGTAATGTCCGGGGGGTAATTGACGGGGAATGCCCTGTTCCCATGGTAATTCCCATTCACCTATCTATATATAAAAAAACTCCCACTGACTTACTATAGAAAATTGCCATTAGCTAACGACAAAAAAAAACTAATGTAATGCCCTTGCACTTATACCAAAGATACAATATGGATCGCACCTTTATAAAATTGAAGTGATATTGGCTTTTTGCTACGTAAAAGTAAAGCTCCCCTTTCAGACCTAAAGATCCATAGTGAAGGCGAAGTAGAGTTCATGTGTTTCTTGACCTCTGCATATGAAGGGGCGATGTTGTCAGCACCAACATTAGAGTTGGCAATGTAGTCTTGTTCGTTTGTTGGTTTGTTTGTTTGTTTGTTTGTTTGTTTGTTTGTTTGCTTGTTTGTTTGTTTGTTTGTTTGTTTGTTTGGTGATATATAGCACCAACATTAGAGTTGGCAATGTAGTCTTGTTTGTTTGTTTGGTGATATATAGCACCAACATTAGAGTTGGCAATGTAGTTTTGTTTGTTTGTTTGGTGATAACATAGCACTAACATTAGAGTTGGCAATGTAGTTTTGTTCGTTTGTTAGGTGATAACATAGCACTAACATTAGAGTTGGCAATGTAGTTTTGTTCGTTTGTTTGTTTGTTTGGTGATATATAGCACCAACATTAGAGTTGGCAATGTAGTTTTGTTTGTTTGTTTGGTGATAACATAGCACTAACATTAGAGTTGGCAATGTAGTTTTGTTCGTTTGTTTGTTTGTTTGGTGATATATAGCACCAACATTAGAGTTGGCAATGTAGTTTTGTTCGTTTGTTTGGTGATATATTGCACCAACATTAGATTTGGCAATTTTGTCTAGTTCGTTTGTTTGGTGATATATAGCACCAACATTAGAGTTGGCAATGTAGTCTTGTTTGTTTGCTTGGTGATATATAGCACACGCATCTGAGTTGGCAATGAAGTCTTGTTCATTTGGTAGGTGCTACATAGCACCAACATTAGAGTTGGCAATGTAGTCGTGTTCGTTTGTTCGGTGCTATATAGCACACGCAATACAGCTAGTAATGTAAACTCTTCGTTTGAGTGGTGCTATATAGTACTAGCATTAGACATGGTCATGTAGCCTTAAAGGCAAGGCTAGGTACTGGCCAGTCTACCTTGGTACCCAGCTAACAGAGAGAGAACTGTCTTGACTGTTCTATCCAGCAAGATGGTGTCAATGAGATTATAGACGTCAGTAGACAGGTAGATGTGGGGGAGAGATTAGGGGGGGGGGGGGGCGAGGTGGAATTTCAAGTTTACAGGTCAATACAGATATTTGAGTTCTATTCGCCTTCCCCGCCCCAGCCCTCTCTCTGTGCCGAGACCTACATCAATGGATCTGCCGTTTCTGAAATGTGGGGTAAATATTTAGGGCTGGGGACAACAACAGGAAGGGAGACCCCAGGGGAAGATTGTTTGCTGGGGTGGGGATGTGGGGGGGATGAGGTGGGAGGGGGGTTGTTGGTAAGGGTTGTGGTTGCGGGGGTTAGTTGTTAGAATTGTGGGTGAGGAATGGTTGTGGTTTGAGGTGTAGTGGTAAGGTTTGTGGGTAAGGGGTGGGGGATGGGGGGGTGTTGGGTTTGTGGGTAGGGGTGGTTGTTTGGTTTGTGGGTAAGGATAGTTTTTAGGGGTGAAGGTGTAGTGGTTAGGATTGTGGGTGAGGAATGGTTGTGGTTTAAGGGGTGGTGGTAAGGTTTGTGGGTAAGGGGAAGGGGGTTGTTAGGTTTGTGGGTTGGGATAATTTTTAGTGGTGATGGTGTGGTGGTTAGGATTGTGGGTGAGGGATGGGTGTGGTTGAGAAAGTAATTTATAAGGTTGTTGGTGAGGGGGTAGTGGTTGGTGAGAGAGTAGAGGTTGGGGTTGTGGTGTAAGGGGTATTAGTTATGGTTCGTCTGAAAATGACTTTAACTCTTGTATCACGAGTTTAGCTCTAATAAAATGTTATTAAATCGCCAATGTACTATATACACATAGAACACTGAAGTTGTGGGGTTGTTTAGGACTATTCAGAGTGGGTTTATTTCTAAACTTTAAGCTTAGAAAAGGTAACGTTCAGCTGCTAAAAATTAACTTACAAAACGATCCTTTATGTGTCATTGCCATAAAGAGATAAACTCTACTTCATCTAACCTAAACGAAAATCAGGTATCAAATAGGTACTGTATTAGGGTTAGGTGTCGACTTACTGATTCAAATTCTCAGTCTGTTCAAAGTCACAGTTTGTTTATTTAAGTCTCTTCTTAACTTTGGACTATATAGAAGTTCACATTATTTCAGTGAGTAATGTTTATGTATAAACGGTAGTGTTTTTATTAGTGCTTTATTGCAACGTCTTATTAGTTACACATTTTAACCCCGACTTTGTTGGGGGTTTTTTAAATTATGGAACCATTTTTCAATAACCTAACTTTACACCGAACTAGATTTTTAACTCACTGATACCAGTAGACCTCCCC